TCGTCCTCTAAGATGAGGGCAAAAGGTATTGACTATCCTGGTGTAATGTAACAGTGGAAAGGCAGAGCAATTATCCACTACAATGAAGCAAGTGGTTTCAGGAGGACTTGATGACAAGATTGTATTTGGGTTGGGCACTAAGGAAAAGTAAGGATAACAATTTTGTTTGCATGTCTGAGATCTTGAACAAGTCAATATCCCTGTCCATTTGATTTCTGTATTGGCACATCAGGAATGTTACAAGGGGTAGTGCAGGTTATAAAAAGGCCTTAGGAAATAACGCCTTCAGCTATAAGTTTGAGGCTTTCTTTGCTCCTGGGTTTAAGAGATATTGGGAAAGTTTGGGTAGCAGTTTGGAAGGATATATCTGAATTTTAATAGATTCTGGTCCAATTACTTTTTCTACGTCAGTGGAAATTTTAGCCCATAGACCGTCAGGTACAGAATCAAATCTTCACCTGAAATATACAACAAGAACAGTGGAGATGTCAAAGGTCTATAAAAACCAAATACGACTTGATTGTAAATAGAATCCTCTGAAACCTCAAGAAATCTTTCCTCTGGTATGCATTTAATATTATGATTCCATAGGCAAAGCATAGCTTTACCTATTAAACTTGTAGGAATGGTTTCACAAAGCAGGAGGGAATCTTTTTCAGTCAAGGGTGCAAAGGTTAAGGTTAAGTGAGAGAGATAGGAAAAAAAAATGTGTGGGTTATTTGAAACACCTACCACTTGTGTGCTACGTTTGGTCCCAGGAAGAAGTTAAGCAAAAATGGCAGGGTTTAATGTAGAAAGACTAGTGTTGTCAGAAGGCATTTTCTAGGCCAGGCCTAGTGGCTCACCCCTGTAATCCCAGCACTTTGGAAGGCTGAGGCAAGTGGATCACTTGAGGCCAGGAGTTCGAGACCAGCCTGACCAACATGGTGAAACCCCCCTCTTTACTAAAACTACAAAAATTAGCCAGGCTTTGGTGATACACGCCTATAATCCCAGCTACTTGGGAGGCTGAGGCACCAGAATCACTTGAACCCGGGAAGCAGAAGTTGCAGTGAGGTGAGATCGTGCCACTGCATTCCAGCCTGCATGACAGAGGGAGACTCTGTCTAAAAAAAAGAAGATGGTATTTTCTAGTAGTCTACCCCCAACTCCAACTGCCTCATATAGTTACATCTTGTTTGTTTTTTTGTTCACATGATTGAATTGAGGTCCAGGCAACTTTTTTCTGGAAATGTTTCAGGTATGTCTTTTTTGAAACTCTGAAAAAACTTTGAAACTTTGATCTATTTTACTGGTGTTTGTGTTTTTTTGGGGGATTTTTTGACTCTCAGGTTTATTGTAGAAAGAGAACTTTCTGCATCAGTTCAGTCAGTCTTTGCTATCCAGTATCTGATGTTCCAACCAACATATGTACAAACTGATATAGCTCAGGTACTCTTGGGTCTTAGACACCCCCCAAAATTCTAAATTATTCTATGACTATTTGCTCTTCTTTTTGAGTTTAGAGAAATCTTCAGTGATAGCTCTTAATTCATCTTGGATCCAAGGTCTAAATTCTACAGTTGCCTACATACCTAGCTCATGGGAGGGATGCATCCTTAGAAGCAAATGGCATTTTGGGTTTTAAGAGGACTACTGGGGGAGACAGGGGGTCTACATGAGGGGAAGGCAAAAAAACAAGCTGCAGAAAAAGAAAGATCAAAATAAAGGAGAAGAGGAAAAACTGAACATAGAGAGACAACTGGAAACCAAGAAAGAGTAGGAGTAGAATTTACCAAGGAAACGACTGTACTTTGTTGTTGTTTAAGTCTTCAGGTTGCTCATTTGCTTTAACCAAAGAATCTTAGAGTGAAGCAATTTTAGAACTGAGTTTCATTTACAAGCCTTTGCATACCAATTCAAAAATTATCCATTGCATCTGAGAAATCATTTTCTCTTTCTTTTCTAAGGAGCTTCTCAGCTAATTTTTTAAGTCCAGTGTTTCCCAGCATGGCCATTGAAGGCCCAGATCATCTTTGGTGAAATTATGCCATTTAGAGAAGTGGGGACTAGAATTAGAATTGTAATAAGTGTACATATAAGAAAAATGAGTTTTTCCTAGAGGAGTAGAAAAACCTGACTTAAATAACCCCATATGAGCTGGCCACAGTTAAAAACAAAGCTTGTGGACTTTGCATCTTGAGCCTCGCACCTTGATGATGAGCTGCCCCTGAATGCATCCCTGACAACCTGTCTCCCCAGGCAGGTGTAACACCAGAGAGAATGCTTTTTTTGGATCAAAACCAAACCCTCAGAACAAAAATCTAGACGAGAGGATAATCTTATCTAGTTTTATTGGTAACTCACAGCAAAGTTTCTCCTAATGAATGCCAGTCAAATGAGAACCGCACTGATCTGGGAGACCAGCTCAAATTAAAGGCCTATAGGCCCTATGCATGTGCTCTACTCTATGACAACACTTCCAGACAGCATAATGCGAAACAGAAGCAGAAAAGAGAGAAATCAGGGATGAAAAGGAGTAGCCTGACTCCACCAAATATGCCAATTAAATGGGCATTGATAACAAAATCTGGGTACCAAAGTGAGACTAGATAGCCAAAGAACTCAAAATCAAAGAACAGAGTTCAGAAGCAGTGCTGACCCAACGAGTCAGTGCAGACTCAACGAGCTGCATGCAGCAAGGCACAAGAAGCCTTTGTGGGTACTGCACCTGGCAGAGAACTGGGATCCATGGTGACAGGCAGTGCAGACAGTATGTCCATGGGACATTTAAGAAGACTACAGAAACAAGTTAAGATCACACAAATGAAAACAAACAGAGGTTAATTATTCAGAGCTTGTTCTGCAAAGGAGTTGGCCACCATCACTTCTGTTTGGTAGAGACTCAAGGCAGGCAGGGGAGTAAGAAAACCTCATAGTGATAAAAGGGGAAAGTTTCAGGTATGCTCTGATTGGATCTTGCTGTTGGAAGCTGGAGGCAGGCTAAGTAGGAGCAGGGTGTTTTGTGGTTTGGGGAAAGTATTTGACTTTCTCTGATTGATCCTAAATTGGAAGCAGGGGCAAAAAATTGGGAAATAGACTCATTGACCAAGTCCTAATTCTTTTGGGCCATTTGCTACAGCAGCTGTCGCTTGACTTCCTGGACTGGTTGCTGCTAAAGCTGTGGTTTGGCTTCCTGAGCTGATTGCTGCAGAAACTGTGAGTCAGAGTTGTACTACTATTATGGTCTGGCCATTGCCCATTTGCATATTCAGTCTCCCACAGGAGAATCCTGACATTGTAGGTATTTAGAGAAAGAGATTAGAAGGATGGTCACCAGAGGCTGGGAAGGGTAGTGGGAGAGTTGGGAAAGGGAGGTGGGGATGGTTAATGGATGCCAAAAAATGGAATGAATAAGGTGTAGTATTTGACTGCACAATAAGCTATAGGCAACAATAATTTAATTGTAAATTTTAAAATCACTAAAAAAGTATAATTGGATTGTTTGTAACACTGTGGATAAATGCTTGAAGTGATGGATACCCCAGTTTCCATGATGTGATTATTATGCATTGCATGTCTGTATCAAAATATCTCATATACTCCATACATATATACATCCACTATGTACCCACAAAAAATTAAAATTCCTTTAAAAAAGAAAAAGAAAAAAACCACCTGCCTAATGGACCATATTTTATTTTTCAGCTATTGAATGAACAGTATTCGTTCACTCAATGCTCTAAACTTTTTAATGTACTTTCAGATACATTATTCCCTCTTTCATCATGACAACAACCTTGTGATCCTGAGAGGTTAATTACTTAAGGTCACTGAAGGACTTTTGGCTAGAATAAGGATTAGATAATATTACAGAATGATTTGCAATATATAACTCAAATTGTCAGGTATAGTTACATACAAATGGCTTTAAAATAAATATTTTGGGCTTCATGCTATGACGAAGGATCTGGTCCAATTGCATCTACTAGTTCAGTTGCTTAAAGCTGAGATAAAATCTTGAAGGAATGATCATAGCTCCCTTCAAATACCTACAAGTCTGTCATGTGGAAGAAGGATTAGGTTTATTCCTATGATTCCAGAGGGCAGAACTAGTACTCGTGAGTGGAAGAGAGGCAGATTTCAACTAAGAATATGAAATATCTTTCTAATAATGAGACACTTGCCCCCTAAAAGAAGGCACTGCCTTGTGAAAGAGCCAGTTCCTCATCTCTTACAGTGTTTACATAGAACTCCATAATCCTACATCTTTAGAGAGTCCTTGAACTGGTCACACCAGCTAATCTCCAGGACATTCATAAATTTCAAGTTCATGAAATTTTGTTGAACTTTGAAAAGAGGCATAGATATTTTTCAATACAGCAGTTTAAAGTCATTCAAATTCTGGATGACATTATTATGTTATGCTCCTCAAAAACAATGCGTTCAATTTTAAGTTTTACCCCCAGACTCTCCTTTGAATGAGTAGTTTTGCCCATATGCCCATACATTTTCAAGAACATTTCTTTTCTTCCTTCCTTCCTTCCTTCCAAGACAGGGTCCTGCTCTGTCACCCAGGCTGAGGTGCAGTGGGGTAACCATAGCTCATTCCAGTCTCAATTTCCCGGGCTCAAGCAATCCTCCCACCTCAGCCTCCCAAGTAGCTAGGAATACAGGCATGCACCACAACGTCCAGCTATTTTTTTTTTTTTTTTGGTAGAAATGGGGTTTCACCATGTTGCCCAGACTGATCATGAACCCCTGGCCTCGAGCTAGCCTGCCTCCCACCTCAGCTTCCCAAAGTGCTGGGATTAGCATGAGCCACGCGGCACCTGGCCAAGAACATTTAAAACTTTAAAAGTGAAAATTGCCGTAATAAGGAGTCATCTAAATCCTTCATCAGCACTGTTTTCTGATTTCACAGAAAACTTTACAGCAAATGTGTTACATTCATTCTTGATGTTTTAAGAAATTAAAGGAATTAGACAAGGTAAAAACAAAAACAAATCCATCTTTTTTAAGATGGTAAGTACTATGATTTTAATCTGTAATCTTAAATTTTTGAACAAGATCTTTTTTTTCTTAGTGGCTTCTTTTTAAATGGTCCTTCAGGTGGAACACAATTGTATTCTTTTTCTGGTATACAAGTAACGAAGCTGAAATAAAACTGTGAGTTCTCTTCTACACCTAAATTGTGATAGTTCAATGTTCATTCTCACCCTGCTCCTTATCTGACTTTTAAACTCTTGAAATCTAATCCCCTAATTTTTACCGGAAAGGTAGTTCCTTTTTATGATGGACTGTGGTTTCTGCCGTTAAGAAAGCAATTTAGAATCCTGGGGATTCTCCTGGAATCTGGAAGAAGTCACCGAAATGGTAAAGCAGGCAGGAGGCTGGGTTGGAAAAAAAATGCCTTCTGCATAAATCTAGTTAGTCTGAGTCGTTTTTGACAACTTCCGGGACCAGACTTCAGGCAGTGCTGGAAATTGTTCTCTTTACCATATCTTTTTTTTTTTTTAATGTACATATTTACATACATACACATATGGTGAGGGAGAGAACGTGGTGACGTGAGACTCTCCCTGGAGAGTAGGAGGTAATAAAGAAATAAAACAGGTGTCTGAGGAGAGGTTCTACTAGGGGAGAATAGAGAGTAACCATCGTTCAGACAGGCAGGAGTTCTCTGCAGGTAGCAGCCTGGGAAAGTGAACTCGCGCACCCTCTTGGGGGACGGGCTCTTTTGCTTTCTATTTCTTCTCCTGCAGCCAGGGTGCACCCGTATTTGAAACAGACCGAATTTCCTCCTCCATGTGGGATTAGGTTGACTTTTCGAGACCAGTGGATATTTCTTTTTAATGACTCCAGTGCCTTTTTGTTATTGCTGTTGTTAAGGTAGAGGGAGAAGAGATCGGTCTAAATTCCGGCTGGGTAGGTAGGGGATTCTCGGCGATGAGAAAGCCGGGACTTTGAAGCAGGAGGAAAAAGCAGCAGCCCCCCATCCCCACTTCTCCTGTCCCCGCTACTCTCCACCCGTGACCTCCCGTGGAGACCCCAGGCGGCAGCATCAATATATGAGCGGCCCTTCCTCAGCGCGCTGCCAGCTCTGGCCGACTGGGCTCGCCAAGCATCGCCCGCGCTGCGCCGAAGCCGACGCCCGGCCCTGCACGGGGCTTTGGAAGGACCCTCTGCGCTCGCCCCCTCCCCGGGGTGGCTGGGCTTCCGAGCTTAGGCTCGGTGCCCACCATGCTCGCGCTGCTCTGCGCGCTGCCCTGGCTCCTGCAGGCGGCGGCGCCCGGGCACCCGGCGAAATCCCCCAGGCAGCTCCCAGCACCTCGCCGCGACCCCCGGGACCCTGCCAGGGGCGCTGATTTTGACCATGTCTACACCGGGGTAGTGAGCCTCAGCACCGAGAACATCTTCTCCTTCAACTACACCAGCCAGCCCGGCCAGGTAAGACACTCGCTCCCCTCGCTCGACTCCTAGAACTTGCCAGACCTCAGAGCCACGTCGCTGCTTTGGAGTTCCCCGGGAATTGACCTTGGGAGACCTCGGGGACCAGGGGGCGTTCGTTCCCTTTCTCCTCCGAAGCAATCACTGCCCTGCCCGCGCTGCCGCAACACGCCTTGGGGGCAACTCTGCTTCGCTTCGCGCCTCCCTGGCCTGGTCACGGGCATTTCTGGGCTTTGCACAGCCGTCAGTTCCCCGCGCCGTCTGCGGGTCCTGGCTCCCTGCCGGGCCTTTCTCCAGGAAAAATCCTGATTTCTAGGGCTGCGGGCTGCGGTGCGGAGCGCGCAGAAGGACCGCACCTCGGTTCCCAGTCCCCTGCAGGAAAGAACCCTCATTTCAAGTGGATGATTCAGCCAGACCCTTCTATTTCATAGCGCATGGGGAGGGAGAGATGTTCAGAATCTAAAATGGAAATTGTGTGAGAATGGACGGAAGCCGCAGAACCTCTGTGTATTCAATAGTCACTTCCTGCGTTTCTGTACCATTGCCACACGTATGTGTTTCAGAGACGCCAGAAGACCCGGGCAAAGACGTGAGAACTGCAGACATGGGCTGATCCATCCAGGTTTTGATTTTAAATACGGATGGATAATTGTGTGAAAGTTCTACACCTGTTTTTGAAAAGAGTTGAGGGAAGATTGGGGGTGGGGAGAATGTTCCAGAGACTATCCCTTTGACATATATACCCAGATTATATAATGTAAGAAAATGCATTTAGTTCATTTCTTTCCTCTAATGTGGTACCTCTGGAGCACAGGCCAGGGGTGGGGATGGGGAGAAAAAGAGAGGACTCCCCAGTGTACCAACCTCTGGATCTTCTTATCATATAAATGTGTTTATGTATCCTTTACCTATACCAGCATCCTCTACCCGCTAGAAAAATTCCAGAACCAGATGATTAGGATACCACTATATGCCTCCCTCTTTGATTCTCACTCCAGATCAGAACTAGAAAACGTTTCACATAGTGAGGGTGGTTTGTATTGGGCAGGGGGAACTAACGTACCTAACACTGTTCCCAGACATCTTCCAGCTCCGCGTAGCCAGGAAGTGTCCTGAATGCCCCATCTCCAGTCTGGCACCAAATCCTATGGCACTGTCACCATGGCAGCACAGCCCTCACCCTGCTCTGTCCTCCAGTAACCTTCAGGTTAGGTGTTCCGTAGTGAGCAGAGAGGCTATGTGCAGAGCCATTCCACGGTAGACAAGTGAGAGCCTGCAGTTTTTGTCTCCCAAACCCCACATACCCAACCTCTTTCTACCTAGCGTGGGAGTACCCATCGGTTGGCTGACATATTGCACAGGAGGTGTGTTCCTAGTCCTATGATTGGCTGGGAGCAGAAAAAAGTCTGAAAACTCCGTGATCTCTGGAGTAAGTCTCAGCTTCCCCCAAATCATTGGTAAGAAAACTCAAATTACGTGGCTGACTAAATCCTGACATCAAGTTTTGGAATTTCTTGCAGTTCTGCTTAGAGACAGACTATCTGCTTTTGAATTGTTGCTTTTACATTTTCCCCGTAGTATTCTGTGATGTTTGCACTTGAGATCACCTGCTTGACTTCCCTAGCAAACCTTGCCTAGCAAACCTTGAGATATTGAGGGCAGGGGCAAAGTCATGTTCATCTCTGCACTCCAGTACCTAGCACAGTGAATGGCACATAAGAGGTTTATAAGCCAGGCATGGTGGCTCACACCTGTAATCTCAGCACTCTGGAGGCCAAGGTGGGAGTATTGCTTGAGACCAGGAGTTCAAGACCAGACTGGTCAACATAATGAGACCCTCTCTCTACAAAAAAAAAAAAAAAAAAATTTTAATTAGCTGGGTGTGATGGCACAGGTGCCTCTAGTCCCAGCTACTTAGGAGGCTGAGGCAGGAGGATCACTTGAGCCCAAGAGTTTGAGGCTGCAGTGAGCTGAGAGCTTGTCACTGCATTCCCACCTGGGACAGAGTGATATGCTGTCTTTTAAAAAACAAAGTTCTTTTTAAAGAGGCTTATAAACATTTTTTCCAAAAATGAACAAATAAGTGAAGAAAGGGTTAAAATATCTTTAAGCTAAAGCTAAATAAAATGAAATGTATACTGTTTTCAATTTAATAGTCTGAAAAATGTGAGATCACTTCAGATAAAAACAAATTTCTTGCTGGGCACAGTGGCTCATGCCTGTAATCCCAGCCCTTTGGGAGGCTGAGGTAAAGAGATCGAGACCATCCTGGCCAATCTGGTAAAACCCCGTCTCTACTAAAAATACAAAAATTAGCTGGGTGTGGTGGCGTGTGCCTGTAGTCCCAGCTACTCAGGAGTCTGAAGCCGAAGAATCACTTGAACCTGGGAGGCAGAGGTTGCAGTGAGCCAAGATCGCACCACTGCACTCCATCCTGGTGACAGAGCAAGACTCGGTCTCAAAAAAAAATTTTTTTTCTTTCATAAAACAAATGTGGTTTTTATAAAAACACATTTTAAAAATTGTTCTATTATGATGTGCTATTTTGTCTGTGTGTGTGAACATGTCCTTTATTTTATAAGTTTTTAAAATATCTTTGAATGACATAAAAGTTGACAACCCAAGCAGTCCCTGGAATTGTTATTAAAATATTACCAATCTGAGAAATACAAAGCTGGGAACCATGGGAACAGGAGATAAAAAGAATTTCAATTATTTGAAATAAAAAGAACACACTTCCTGTGCAATTTCAATTATTTAATGCCAGTATGCACAATATAAACCAGACGTCCTCAAATCTTACAGCTTTCTGGGACCAATCTTTAATATGCAAATGTGGTAGTAGGAAATTACCCTCCCCTTCTCACCAGCCAGTATTTCTGTTGTTTTCTCCAGAGAAGACATTCTCTTGATCTGTCTGGCCAAACCATTACTCTCGGTTCCTACTGATGGCCTGCTCTCTTCTTGGTTCTTTTTGTCCTACCAGCCGCCCCTTCTTGTAGGAACCCAAAGCTGTTGGATGTAGCAGATTTTTACTAAAAGTTTGGAATAATATAGAGGAATTACATCGTAGCACAAGATAGGTGATAGATTAAACAGAAACCCAGGTCATGCTGTTTCTACAATTTGCCACCACGGGGATTTCAAGATAGTGATGCTCTCTTTCAGGCGCTGGTTTGTTGCTATCTTCTTGGCCATCCCCTCACACCCCCTCAAATGCTGACCCCCACCCCCTAAGCTTTTGATACTCTCCCATGTTGTGCAATTTTTGCCCATTGCTCATCCCCCACTCACTAAGGGACTCTGCTAAATGGACATGTATGATCCCAGATCTATGAGCTTTGGAGCAGAAGCTTAGACATGACTGCTTTTCCTTTAATCTGCACCGTCTTGATAAGGTAAGTCTTTCTACCCCGCAGGGTCATTGCCCACCTCCCCTCTTCAGTGCAACAGATAATTTGGTTTAGGAGAAAAAATGTCTAGTTTTTGAGCTTTAATCTTTGTTTTTCTTTTTCTTCAAGCCACTGTTGCCTGCCATTATTTTTCCTGTGCCTGGGAGGAAAGTCTGTTCGAAGTTTAGGCTTAAATACAGGAAGCTGTTGTGGGAGCCATGGCTCCTAATCTTTCCTTTCAGCCACTGTATCTCTTGTACCAAACTGTCCCAGAGAACTTTTAGCCAAGCTTGTGTCATACTAGTTAGCTGAACTCAGCACCAGGAAAAGTCTCATATGCCTTCCAGGCATAGTGTAATGTAAATATGAAGTTGCCTTTAAAAAAGTCACTGAGAGAATGGAGTGATTGCTTTAAATAAGAATGATGAAAATAACAATTGGAGGTGCAGGTTAGGCAAGATCCTGAATTCGTTTCATTTCTCTGGAGGGAAGTGTCTGGAGACTCTCTTTAAGAAGAGAAGAGCTGTACTGTGCAAACAGGGTATTCCGTAACCACAGGGCTCAGCCAGACTAGAAGGAAATTACCTTGTTGGGAAAGTTGCCAGGGATATGTTTGACTGGGACAGAGGGCACAAATGCAGGTTTACTGGGAAATGAGAATACCCTTGTAAAGACAGGGGGCAGCAACAATCAGATGTTTCTATTTGAGCTAGATGGTGATAAGAAACACTTAAATAAAATCTAACCACTGTGCGACAAGCTGGTTTCTCTGAGGTTTCCCCGTAAGAATTTACTTTGCCATAGATTTTTAAATTTGAAATATTTCCCTGGAAATATTTCTTTTATTTCATTTATTAACTGAGGTGTTTATCTTTTAATGACATATACTATACTTTTCCATGCCCAATGAACAACCTTCAGCTTTGTTAATATAAACCAGTAATTGTATACCTAGAACCAGTTAAACCAGTCTCTTGGATCCAGATTCAAAAAGCCTACCCAGTCCTTACGAACAATGAAATGCCCATGTGAACACTCCAGTGGTAACTTCTAGCTACATGCATTACTAGTTACATGGAAGAATGTAAAACTTTGATATGATGGCCTGAGTTCTCCCTGTCTCGTATAGGAATGCTTATTCTTTATGTACTGAGACCAAGAAGCCTCCTCTGCTGTCCTCCCACGTCCTTTTGCTGAACTGCACTACTGCTTGTTAGAGGAACACCTCATTAGCACATTTTCTGAATGATTGGATTGTCTCAGTCCATCTAGGTTGATATAACAGACCATCATCGTCAAATCCCATGTCTGGTGAGGGCCTGCTTCCTGGCTTATAGACAAATTCCTTCTTGCTGTGTCCTCACATGGCCAAGACAGCAAAGAGAAAAAAAGCATAGTCTTTCATGTGTCTTCTGCTTTTTTTTTTTTTTTTCTGAGACAGATCCTCGCTCTGTCACACAGGCTGGAGTGCAGTAGCACAATCTCAGGTCACTGCAACCCTTGCCTCCCAGGTTCAAGGAATTCTAGTGCCTCAGCCTCTGGAGTAGCTGGGATTACAGGCATGTGCTACCACAGCTGGCTTATTTTTAAATTTTTAGTGGAGACAGG